GGAAGAGTTGGTGTAAATCTGGGGACAATGGGGCGGGACAGAGGGGGATCAGGAGAGAGCAGTGATTGGTTTTTTACGCAAGTTTGTGGCGACAGAGAAATCATCTTCGAATTCGGAAAAGGGGGGAGAATGGTCCGGGTAGTCCAGTTCATAATTAGAAGAGCAAGACAACTTAAGTTAGAGCAACTAACTACAGAAAACACTTAATCATTATTAGTTTACAGACAGCTAATAGTTGTGTAAAGAAAGGAAAAGGACATGAAGCCCTAGAAGTTTGACAGGTAAATGTTAGTTAATTTAGGACTTTATCTACCAAAACATAACTAATAACTAAGCCACAAGGTAGGCTATAATATTCCTTTAATTTAAAACTCCCTCTTTTTCTTTTCAAAATCAAATTTAGTGGAGAAGATATATTGTAACACATTAACAAGAATCTCCTTCAATTAATGCATGCATGCATTAATCAGTAACACAAGGCAAACAAAAATCTAATCATCAATTAACAACCATGCCAAGATCACTTGTACTGATTCACAACAAAGCTGAACACATCTACATAATTAGAACCATCAAGTATTCCATATTCGTAACGAAAAGAAAAAATAAATGTGATTGAAAATTTTGGAACATAGTAAATATATTCAGATAGTTAATACAATCACCCGAAAGGCGAGCTCCTCCCTTGCGGCATGCCACCGGCGTTGATAACCGTCCGACGAGGAGAAACAACAAACTTCTTATCGTCCCCACTCAAATTATCTCCCGACAAGTTTATTATAGGCTTCGACTCGAGAATGTGATCTGAAATCGAGCCAATAATATGATCGCTGGGCCCTGTTAAAGGCCCAATCTGGATTTGGTGGTCTTCAAGGCGTGAGCGATCTCCTTCTAGCGAGTCTTGCAGCCTCAGATCATCGGCCCAAATCATGGGGCTTTTGCCAGTGATGATGCTATTTGTAGCGTTGCTGTATGGGTTGGACCGTTTTTTGGTGAAGAAATTATTAGTATTGTTATTATTATCGAGAGACGATGATCTTTGCATGGTGACTCCGTATGTACTGTTGAGGTCATGGATGGATGGGAAGCTCATGGCCGGCCCAAATTCACGGTTCATGACCGAGATATCGGGCCCATGGACTTTGTTGAAATCGGCCATTCCCTCGCCGGCAAGTGTTTGGCAGGCCTTCTCGAGGATTGTTTGCATGTATTTTCCGTGGGCCTCGATTCTCAGTTGAAGATGTCTCTGAACCTGTTATTTTTGGATTATTTGATATATTAAGGCCTATATTATTTGTTGCGTATGTAAAAATAGGTTACCTCGAGTTGTTCATGGAGCCTTCGATTGACCTCCATTTGCATCCTAATTGCATCAGTTATGTTAACATTACTGGCAAATCAGACATATAACCATGCAATTCCACAAATGGAATATTAAATCTTTGATCGAAAAATGGGAAAACAAAAAAAAAAAAAATATTATCATTTGTTCAAGCAAAATACTAATATTTATTCTTAATAGCTCAAACTATTATATATGAAGAAGGTTTTAGCAGGAACATACTCGTTCATGCTAGGGCCGAGCATTCCGGATGCTGATGCATTCTTTCGTTGAAGCTCGAAAGCCGCTGCTGCCAGAAAAAATGAATAAATGTTTTGTATTTAATTTATAAACAAGTATAAAGGAGTTTAGTTTCTTCTCAACACACGTATTATTATGGAAAACACTACAGCTCCGTAGCGAGATGATTCCGTTGTGTGTTTTAACCATGGATTATCGTGACGGGTAAAGAATCTAAAAAAAAATAAGTCACCTCTCTCACCATCTTTCATTGAATGGTCATTGAAATCCTTGTGCGGCTGTTTTCCCAGCCGAAATTTCTGAAAATACAGAAACATTAAAACCAAATCGAATTAAGATTAAGCCCTACTAAAATAAGGTATAAAAATAATTAATTAGATTAATTAATAAAGAGTTGAAATTTGTAGGAAACCTGAAGATGGCTCTTGAGATGGTAAAGGGTGAGACCCTTTACTCCCATAACTCTCATTATAGTCTTGGGTGTTGCCTCTGCACAACCAAAAACAAAAAAATAAAATAAATTAATAAAAAATTAAATAAAATAAAAAGAATGAGAAGGAGAAGGAGTTGAAATTAGATTTAGATGCATATATATACACATACTGTCGGGGCCACCGAGTTGGGTGACGGCATCTACGAAGCGTTGGTGGAGCTCGACGGTCCATCTGAGGCGGGGTTTGGGGTCGGTGGTGAGGACGAGGCCCGAGTCTGGCTGAGCTACGCCGCACATATTGCTGGGAAGATGATGAGTAGCAGTAGAAGTAGCAGTACTATTCATCATCATCATCATGTCCACTGGCTTCTTGGTGGATGCTGTTTGGAACATAATTCTTACTGATTCTAAATCTTTGCTTTTTTCTTGAGATTCAGGGAACAATTGCGGTGTGCAGATGGGGAGAGAATAGGGTGCGGATATCATATCATATGTAGAGGTGAAAAAAGAAAAAAAAATAAAAAATTAGGATTACTTTTATTAATTTAAATCTTTAATAAAGGCTGTGTGCGAAGATTGGAGAGTGGATTAGGCATTATTAGTGCGGCTTGGCTCGTTTAAGCTCAATCTTGGCTCGTTTACCAATATTACTGATCTCAATTCGAGTCCACCTCTCGAAAATTAACAAGATGAACTATAGAAAATTATATGTAACTGTAAGTAGTATTAGGATTTGTAGATTGCGATTAACCTTATTGTTGCCCCCATTTACCTATTTATATGGAGTTATTTAGCTTTCTCCATTTGATTTGTTCTTCCTCCGTCAGATCATTTGTTCCACTTTGAGCTTGACCTTACACGTGTTCTTTGTGGACCGCCTTTCATGACCACCACAACAGGTCGGTTCTTAGCTTTGTAGAGCATCACCATCGATCGACTTTTCTTTAAAAGACCCTTCTGTTACACTGCACCGAGCTACTACTGTGACGAGCTCTCCACACTCTCAGGCCCCGCCACTACCCGAGCTACTACTGTGACGAATTCTCCACACTCTCAGGCCCTGCCACTAGCTGAGCTACTACTCTGACGAGCTAATGGGCCAGCTGCTAGGTCGAGTTGTTGCTATGACGAGCTAATGGGCCTCGCTGCTGGGCTGAGCTGTTGTTATGACGAGCTAATGAGCCTCGCTGCTAGATCGAACGGTTGCTATGACGAGCTAATGGGCCTCGCTGCCGAGTTGTTGCTATGACGAGCTAATGGGTCTTGCTCCCAGGCCGAGCTGTTGCTATGTCGAGCTAATGGGCCTCGCTGCTATGGCGAGTTGTTGCTATGACGAGCTAATGGGCCTCGCTGCTAAGCCGAGCTGTTGCTACGACAAGCTAGTGGGCCTCGCTGCTAGGCCGAGCTGTTACTACGACGAGTTAGTGGGCCTCTCTGCTAGGCCGAGATGTTGCTACGACGAGCTAATGGGCCTCGTTGCTAGGCCGAGTTGTTGCTATGACGAGGTAATGAGCCTCACTGCTAGGTCGAGTTGTCTCTATTCTTACTATAGCCATTACCGGTCCACAAATTAAATTTCTTTTTGTTCGCCGAGCTATTCTCCTATGCTATATCATGCTTCATTCAATTATATGTTTCTTTGTTTGCAGAATTATGCATAAAATCTCTATTCCGAAAAAAAAACAAGCTAATTTTATATCATATTTCATTATCTATTACTATCATCTAAAAAACTAATTAAACATAACAAACAAATTACGAAGTCCCTCCAACGGTCGTCTGGTAGAGAAAGACGAAGAGGTACAATCTTCTAAAAAAGGGTAATGTAATACAACATACACAATAACTATCTTTTTTTCTCGAAACGGAATAAATTCTTCCTTGGTTGAGAATTAAAGCAAAGATTCTATTCTCTAACTGTTTAAATTCTATATATAGTAATGAAAAATTCTAAAGTCCCATAGCGGGACCATTCCTTCAAAAATAAAAATAAAAATAAATAAATAAAACTCCAATAAAAAATTGTCACGTCAATATAGACATGGCCACGGCCCAACATGATAGGTTGCTGTTCCCGAAAACTGTCACCATAGCTTTACGGGTCGTTTTCGTGTTTTTTTTTTTCTATTTTTGGTCACGGCGGGTCGGGACCGTGCCAGGACAGGTCCGATTTATGGGTCCGACCCTCGGTTTTTGGCGGGCCGATTAAGGGTCACCCATGGGAGGCCCGCCGGCCCAACACACGGCCCGGCCCATTGTCTTGCCATCTCTACGTCAACATATATAGACTATATCTAAGGGTTCATATCAAACTAATATATCCAATTATTAATACAGTAATGCTCCCCTACCCATGGTGGACACATGTTAATATGCCCACAGTTTATGTGGCATGCACACATTGGTGATGTTAATATGTTAAAAAAATACATCACCAATGTGTGCATGCCACATAAGGGGTTGACGTATTAACATGTGCCAGCGATGGATGTATTAACATGTTCCCACCGTAGATAGATGAGCATTATCTATTATTAATGTTAAAACAACGTATCATAACAAAACTGTAGTCATCCCCTATACTAGTAACACTACCTTGTTGCTAATTAGATACTTAAATACATACAAATCTCTGGCTAATTAACGACACGATTTCATGCAACTTGTAACGCTTTACCAGAGCTTAAATTTTGTTTGCTTTATATTATTTATGATCAGGTGCCCAAAATATTCGTTCAAAGGAATAGTTATGTCCTTAGGTGATTAATTACACTAGTTTGGATGACATGCACAAAAGTTTAAATTATTATAAATTATATATAGTTATAAATTAAATAATATTATCACATTTTAAAAATTTTATCATGAGTAAAAATGAACATTATAAAAGAATTAATTTCATCTCTATATTAATTAATAATATGAAATGAATAATGTAATTTTTATAAATTTAAGGAATCTTGACCAATTAATTATCCTATAAAGGATTAAAATTATTATTGTTGTTATTATTATTATTCTACTACTGCTGCTACTACTTATTAATATTGATAAGCACTTATATAATATGAGCTACTAAAATTATTGTAAATTAATTCGAGTCTAATGAAATAATTAAAAAGTTTGGACTTCTATTTTTTTTTTTTTATGTAATAATTGATTAAATAACATGTAATGCAACTAATACAAATTGAAAACAACTTAGACACCTTACCTCATAACATCTTAGCACATACAAGATCGCTAGTAAGTTAAATTAACTAGACTATATTTAATAATTAATTTTTAGTAAGTTAAATTAACTAGACTATCACGTTAGACTTGCTATCCTCTTATCTTATTAAAAGCGTATGCCTCAAAAGTTGAAGTTTAACCTTTTGTAGCTCATTTTATTTTTACACCATAGTTATTGCAAAAGTAGATTGAATTGGATATTGGGCATGTTTGCTTAAATTTTAAGCATCTTAATATTCTTTAAGCACTTGTTCTTCAAATTGAATATATTCCTTGCTCTCGGGTGAATTGGTGGGGCCTTATTCCCCACAAGACCTTATTATTATTTTTTTTTCGATTAATCCACTTTAATTAATTTCTTCTAACAAAATATAATATGTTCTTCTATGAAAATTTGTGGGTAAGTATGTAGAATACGCAAAATGTGTTTAAATAAAAGCATAAGCGACAAATAAACAAATTCGTCATGGAAAAACGTCGCATTACCCATCAGAGCTCTTTAATTAGCGAACCGGTCCTACACACGATGTATAGATTGGGATTACAAGTTGAGAACTCCCTCCTAAACTTACCAACTCTATACCAGAATTACTTCTCTGGCCACAAGACAACATTAACTAAAGCACCTATTTGAAATTTCTCCATGCTAATAAAGTATTTAATCCCGAAGTACCCAAGAGTTATGAGTAAAAACAAGATCAACTCTTCAGTAATGTAAGAACACAAAACTGAACAGTTGAATATCTAATCTAAGAAAATGCACAAAACTCATAAATGATATAATAAAAGTTGGATGTCTAAAATGCAAATGAAAAATACATATATATATATATAGTATATCTCCAAAAACACACACTAGGTGCACACACGTTTAATGATTCACCAGCTCGCAGGTCTCGAAATCTCATTCGCAACGAGTTCTGGAGTGAAAATAAACTGAAAAGAAGCCTTCACGAGTCGCCAAAGGTGTTTGGCTGCGAGTGCTGGCCTTAGGTGTCGCGGGTGTACATCTGGCGGGTCTCGAGGAGTGGTTCGCAACGAGTGCTATCGTGGGCGCCCAGGTACTTGCGCTTCGCGAATCGCTAATGAATTTCCGCAGCGAGTACTCGGCTTAGGTGTTGTGCGCGCCGGTTGTTTCGCTGCACGCGAGTGGAAGCTCACTGCGAGTTCGCATTTGCTGGAGTGTGTTGCTGAGTGGCACGTGGAATTTCGCGACGAGTGTTGGGCCTAGGACACTTGCGCTTCGTGGTCGCCAACACACTTCCGCAGCGAGTGCTGCTGCCAAGGCTGGCATGTGCATGCACCATCTCGCGGAACGCGAATTCCTTCTCGCGGTGAGTGCGGCGCGGATGGTTGTCATCGGGTTTGGTTCGCTGCTCGGTTGGTTTGTCTCGAAAATGTCTCGACAAAATAGCTCTTCTTTCTAATCGTGCAATCTGGACCTAAACAACACACTAAAAGAGATGCGAAAATACGACAAAATACAAAAACACATAATAAAAACAAAAACACATAATATATGACAAAATGGACTGATTGACACAAAACCAAACCTAAAAACGACTCAACAAAAGCATATAAAACAAGATAAAACACCACAAAAAAACATAACAAACAAGCATATATACAAATTCCATGATGGTGAGCCATCTTCATATTTTCATGTCTTCAACATTTCTATATGAAGTCAATATTCTTCCAAAATAGTTCGGCTTCTTTGATTGGAGATTTTCAGAATCTTCACTCAATATTTGCGTAGGAACAATGTTTTTCGGTTTTCTTGATTGTCCAAATCATGTACAAGACCCTCATCAATATCTTCATGTCTTGATTCTGTTCTTCTCCAAATTAAGTGTGAGGTCTTCTTACACTATCATCTCTCCCTTTAAATACTCCTTGCATCATTCGTCGGAAGTACTGTCCTGGAGGCGCTGCCTAACACTGTAGGATGACGGTAACCGCTCACGATAGCAGAAGTAGATGCAGCTCACTATGGTTGGTAAACGTGCTCAGAAGCACATTTTCTGGACTCTGGGCGAGGGGGACATTTGTTTTTGGGATCAGTGGTGGATTCGTGAGAGTTTCCTTTTGAGTGCTAGGCAGGTCACCCACCTTCTTTTTCTGCAGGTGAAGTACTTGTGGACGGATGGGGCTGGGATAGGGATAGATTAGAGTGGATTTTGGGCAGTGGAGCGGGCTTTAGTGACCAGAAGATAGATGAGATCCAATAGATACCATCTCGGAGGACAGTTTGGACGGTATGAGGTGGAGACTTACATCTTCAGGTAAATTTCTACGACCTCAGCTTTGGGGGAAGCACGACTGGGAGACCGGCCTAACTTTCTCTTCGGGGCCATCTGGACCGACCTACTTACACCGACCATCTCTGATTTCTTATGGCGCCTTCTTCTGTGCCACCTACCGATTGACACTGTGATGCAGGCGAGGGGGTTCTCATTCCCCTCACCTTGTTACTATTGTGGTGAGACTGGTGATTTTTTATCTGACTTTCACATATTTGTTTCTTGAGAGTGAGACTGTGAGGAGAGTGTGGGAGCATTATTCCAGTTACACCCATATACC